ATGACAGAAAATCTACTCGCATTTGCTGTCCTGCGGCAATACAGGAGAGCAGTTGCGTTTTAGACCAAACATATGGTGACTGAGTGCGACCTGGACGCATCAGTGATGGTGAGATATTTTGCAAAATAAAATGATCCTGTTTGAAGAATTGCGCGATAACTTTATTATTTATTTTTAATAAATGGTCAGCTTTTGTGAGTGAGCTTTTGTGAAGTTTTCACAGCAGTAAGTTAATTTAGAAGTTTCTTATCCACATTGAAACGTTGGAAAACGCCTGAAATCGCTAGTGTGGCGGAGAGCGTTTTTAAACGAAATCTGGATTAATGTGGACGACGTAGCCTAAATTGGGCGTAAAGTTTGCTACAGTGCACTTGCAAAAGTGATAATTATGAATGTGGTGTGAAAAGAAAGTTGCTAATACTTATGTTTCAAAGAATAAGCCATATTTGAGGTCGATGGATGATAGGGAAACGTTTGGATTTTCTGCCTGACAAACTGTTATCACAAGGACCATCCATCCATCCAATATATCATCTGTGTTGCATTCATTTCATTACAGCCCTGCTTTGCTGTAACAGTGTGGTATATAAATTATACATTTTTTAAATGTAACTTTGAATCATCCTGTGGGTTAAATTGAGCTCGTCCATAGACTTTGACTGGTCCCTGGGATGTGTCTTTGACACCTCTGTTGTACAAGAAAAGGAGAAGAGTGTGGTGTAAGAATATAGAGCTGAAACTGAATAAAAACAGTTCAGAGAACATTAAAGAAGAGATCACACTCTCTTGCTGTTGTACAGTGTAAGTGGTCGACCTCACACTGGTATGAGAAATATGACAGGCAATTACTGTCTGTGACTTCCTTGAGCAATAATGAATGAGAGGCCTGGCTGTATTGTGAATAAAGTTACACACTAAGGGTGCTGTCAAGACACAACAAGCAGCAAAGGGCCTGTAACCCCTTCAGTCGTGACTGTATTCATTATATAACACACAGCCTCAAGTGTCTTTATATAGTGCCACAGTCGGGTTCCGGAATTAAAAAATCCCTTGATTTTCTCCATTGGGAAAGAGTTTTTTAAACGATAAACTTACTGACCTCTTGTGAGCTATGAGGTTGTTAATTGATGATATATGCTTTTCTTGAAGCCATATATTCACATATTTATTTCAACTTATTTTTTGTTTAACAGTGAATATTTGGTAAAAAATTACAGTACTCATAATGCAATCTCCCATGAAGCACTGCAAATTACATCAACTTATATACAGTATATTTATTCATACATTTAATTGTCTACTCTGTGCTTCATGGAATTCTAGTTCTTTCCCACAGTAAAGCCATTACTATCATTACATAGTACACTGTCTTGTACCATTATTGTCTAATAAAAAACATAAACAAATAAATAAAACATTCTTCAAATCAAAGTCTGTAATGTTGTGATTTACCACAACTGGTGGTGGTTTGCTGGTGGTTGGTTTGGTTCTTAGCTTATAATGCTTTAAAGAAGACATTTTAAGATCCTAATGGGAAAAATGCTTCCGGAACCTGAAATAGAGCATCACAGTCCCGCCCACAACCAGTGCCGGGAGTAACAATTCAATACAATTTCTACATTGACATTTGAGATATAAGCCATAAAAACGTAACCATACATGGTAGACTTAAAACCAGCTACGACTGTGATAAGCGATTGTATATGCTCATATAAACGTCAAAAGTTAATGGGGCACTAACCTTGTTTTACATTAAGATCATGTAATGACGTAGGGCTAAGATCATTGGTCGCACCTCAGAGACGCCCCCGCGCCATTGGATGTGCAGTTGCCGGAGCACAGCCTATGAGCGAGTCAGATGCTCAATGTTTTAGCTGTGCAGCTGCAAATGCATTTTACATATAAGCTTCAGTAAATCATGGAAAATGAGTTTCCCTGCACATTAGGGCTGGGGTAAACGATTATTAACTAAACGATTAGTTGGGCGATTATTTTATCGATTAGTCGACTAATCTAATGACTAATTGGACGACTAATATAAAGAATATTTTTTCTGCTGCTCAATTAATAAAAAAACAATATGTCAATACTGAATCAAGATACTATAAGCTGGCTAACGTTAGTCTAATGTTATGTATTTGAACACCATTATAACTCTACAACCGCCAAAACCGTGTTATTAAAATATTTTTTACAAACATTTTTTATCATAGAGAATGTTTAAATATTAATATCTGAGGAGGGAAACGGAGGCGGAGTTAGTGGTGCGATCGGAGGCTTCTACTACTGGAGATGAATCGGGAGAGGTTTGTGCAGTACTACAGTCAGAGCGCGTGCTGACACGGAGTAAAGCCTTGTTTGTACTCGACACGTCCGCACGAGCGCGAATGTGCGCACGGCAAAAATGACGCGTTGGGTGCGCAAGACCAGGAAGACTGTGGCTGGCTGTGTGTACGCCTTTTTTTTGTAACAGCGCGCCCGGCGCCGCATCCGGAAACGACTTCAAGCCGAATCTGCCCGAGCTTGTACGTCTCACCACACCGGCACCCAGTTTGCGCATCTAAATTGTAATTCTTTTTTTCTTAAGGGTTTGTTTACTGTGTGTGATTCATTTAATGGATAGCACATTTACTTCTAGTTGTCTTCGTCCTCTATTCTGCAATGTTTCGGTCTCCCACGTGTGTGTGGCAAGCTGTACCGCCGGGAACATGCAAAAAAATAAATAAATAAAGAAGCGTCGACGCAAAAATATGACGTCGACGCAATTTTGACGTCGAATCATCGACGTCATCGACGCGCCGCTACAGCACTACTGCACATTGACTATATAAAATTCACTGGAGGAAAAAGTTCACGTGGCTGGCGTCAGATTTGGAAGTCACTCAAAAGGCTCTTTCACAGTGGCTTCAGTCATCTTCAGTGAGGTGCGGTGGTTTTTGGGATGAGTAGTTCCTTTGCTCGGTAATAAAAATATGTACACAGTCTTGTTGACTTTTTTGGGATTTTCTCTTCGTTTTTTTCTCTCGAAATGAAATGTTGTATGCTTATGAGTTCAGCCGTAGCTGGTTATCCTCAGATATGCTCTAAAACTCTTTAGATATGGATTTTACAAAACATCAATGGGAGAAATGAATGGGAAATTTACTTCCGGCACCAAAGCTCTCTCGGGCTGTGGGCGGGACTGTTTCTACCATTCTACCATTGGTTGAATAAACATAGTTCCACACCAAACTCTGCTATTGGTTGAAATACTGTATCTTTCTGTCGAAATGCTTCAACAAATAGAGACATCTTTTGAAGGATTCACAGTGTTTACACTTTTCAGCTACCATTATGCCTCGCCAAAGCCTATTTGTTCACGCATTTGGCGCTTGTTAAATTTTTAACCCTGGAGGATTATGGGGAAATAATTATTATGAGATGATTTCTCAGTTCCCCTCACCTGTTTAAACTTTTTCATTGAGAGCTAGTGGAAGACTTTGGATTTGTTTTCTCAGGTTGATAGTCTTTCTCTGTCATAACAGCAAATTCAATTCATTAAATATAACTGCTGTTTATAACTGCTGATGAAGAGTCATTATACATTTCTCTGCTCTTGAGCTTCTGTTGTGGTGTATTTTCATTTCTAATGCCACGTTGAAAACTCTTAGTGTTTTAGTGTGCTGTATGTGCTGTAAAACACCATGGCACATAGAAGTAAATCTGTGACATTGATCCAGTTCTCTTTAGCAGCTCCTCAACCCCAAAGTTGCACCATGTGGCTAGTCTCATTTGCATTTTAGCACACTTTCTGGATTAGCTTTAAACTAAATTTGCATGTGTATAAACACTGTATACATTTCAGATTTAGTTCAGAGACTGTTAATGAGGACACATGGGGTGGAGTAGGTGCTTCATTTCTACACATTTGAGAATTTGTATATTTTGACAGAAAAAAAAATAATACTGTCACCTTCATGTTGTAAAGTGAAAATTCTTTGTTCTTCTGTGATTTTTTTTCTTCTTTCTGCACAGTTTGAATCCATTTCAGTATAATTTCCTATGGTCATTTGTTCTTGTGAAGAGTGAACTGACCCCTTACTTACTGACACCAAACTTACTGAACAGTACTGTATGAATTCCAATACATCAGTTCATATCATAAAGGATGAACTGATTAAAAGGACAGGGAAATCATCAGACTTGATTCTTTCATTATAAAGAAACAGTGTCAGGATTTGTCTGGCCCCTCACAGCGATCATTGTACAAAACTCTTACCGTTCTTGTAATATTATATTTATATTTTCCTCTTAGGATCATGTCAGTCAGTATGATTTGATGTGATTGGAAGTGTTTCGGGGCTGTTCTGTGCTGTTTTGTAGTGCTGTGAGGCTGTGGTGCGTTGACTGCATCTGTGGAGCGTCTGTCTGTAGGCGTAACGTCTGTCTGTGAGACCGTCTGTCTCTCACATCAACTCTCCACCGGAGAGAAAGACATAGAGATGGACCACAGGAGGCTAAGTGCCCTGTTTGGAGATTCAGTGAAGCATATGACCTTTAAAAGTAGTTCGGCAAGCAGCTCGAATCTCTTCTCTCTCTCTCTGTGTGTGTGTGGATTTTCTTGGCTATACTTTAGGGACAAAACTGTCCCTTGATGTCAGCTAAATAACAAAAGACTTCCCTTTGGGGACATCCTCAAAGGAAAATTGACTCTTAAATAAAGTCAATAGTGTTCTGTCTAGACGAAGAAAAATCTCAAATGAGATCTCTTTAATATCGGATTTGTTTTTTCTTGGAAAGCAGCAATGATATTATATGGTGAGCAAAAAGATTTTTAAGTCTCCTGGTTCTCAGATTCTGAAAATAAAAACGTCTTTCAGAAGAGATCTATGGTCAGATTTCCAAGATACCAACAGATTGCAATCAAAAGAACTCGAGCTCAAACATTTCTCATCAAATTTTGATGAGAAATTGAAATTGTAGGATAAATCTTTCTTATGCTCCTTTCTCTCTATTCTCAGTGAATGCCATAACGCCACAGACCGTATAAAGGTTCGTGTGTGGGATGAAGACGACGACATAAAGTCCAGAGTGAAGCAGCACTTTAAGAAGGAATCTGATGACTTTCTGGGTCAGACTATCATCGAGGTGCGGATGCTGAGCGGGGAGATGGACGTCTGGTATAATCTAGGTATGTTATGGGCCTCTACGATCAAAAATCTCACCAAAATTGAAAGGAATCATTAACAAGATACAAACAAACAAACAAATCATTTACTTACCCACATAAAGCTAAACCTTTATGATTTTTTTTTCTCATTTATATATATATATATATATATATATATGCTTTTACCTTTACGGGTGAAGTTGCATATGTTCCTGTCAAATGTACATAATGGTGTCGATACTGCAGTAACAGTATGAGCCAGAATCAGACCCAGAAAGCGGCGATAAAGAGAGGCAAGCAGAACCTCACCACACACGGCTCTTACAAAACGTTTCTGAATTTTAATTAGCCTATATTTTTTTAAAGAGTAAGTAAACCCTAAACCAACTTTTTTAGTTAATGATCTGTAAGAATGGATCTTTATTAATACCAGTCATTGATTCGAGTAACTTTTTTGACATTTGTGTATAAAGTAGGGGTGTAACGGTACACAAAAATCACGGTTCGGTACGTACCTCGGTTTTAAAGTCACGGTTCGGTACGTTTTCGATACAGCAAAAAGAAAGAAATGCCAGAGAAATTTCCTATTTGTTTAAAGAAAAAATGTTTTTAAATAAGTGTGAGTTTTCCTAGATCTTGAAACTTTCAGGTTTATAAATGGGGGTCATCTTTGAAGGATGAACAAATAATGTTTTGGTCATCACAGTAAAAATAACATTTAAATATATATTTATTTATATAATATTTGAATTTTGAAGTGCTGAAAAAAGATGTGTGAAGTACTTGAAAGCATTTCACCATTCCAGCCAAACTGGTTCCAGTTAGTGTTACTATATTAAATCCATGGTGAATATTGCTGGTCTGTGGACGAAAGTATTACTAGTTCATTCACGGCACAATGTTTCTCCTGGTTTCCATGACAGCGCTGTTTGATCTAATAGAGATCTACGGTTAATAACGGAGAAATGTGAATGCTTCTCACTAGATCTCGCAGCGATGTTATTACCTCAGTGGCGAATTCAAATGTGTTCTTTACCGGATCTCGTAGCGCTGTGTAGTAACAGTGTTGCTTGATCGAGATCGGCTCGCGCTGCACAGATGTTGCTGGTCCGAACTGATAAGCGATCCGTGAAGCACATAACGAGTAGCGCAGTTTCGTTCTCCTTTCATTACGCTTGCCATTTGATGTTGCGCAACGTTGTGTTGGCCGCGTCAGCACGAATTTTGCCAGCAGGAAAAATGGTCCAAGCAATCGTTCGGTTTGTATGCGTACCGAACCGGAAGCCTCGAACCGAAACGGTTCAATACGAATACATGTACCGTTACACCCCTAGTATAAAGTGTTTTATTTCTACAATATATGGTGTAAAAACGTCTTAGTGCTGCCCTCTTCAGGTTGAACGGTGGCTACTGCAGTTGAATTTTCCTATTGGAAATTCCGCACTTCGTGACGTACGCAGGTTTCAGCTCACCACGCTCTTGGTATGAGCGCCAGTATAAAAACCAGCTTGTTTCGTCAAAACCACTGTAGCGAGTTGGAATTGCGAGTATTGAAAACAATCAGGATAGAGTGTTTTAGCATCTATTTCGTCCCCTCTATGTCCACTGGGGTCTGCCCACTTTTTCAGCATTTTTCAAATATTGCCAGTGGGTGGAGTCAGGCTCTGACTAGGGGTTTAGTTACCCTTTAACTTTATACACATGTGTCTTACAAAAATTAGCATCGAACTGACTGGCTATTATATACACAAACAGCGTTGGCACTGGTTTACGTTCTTGATCAAATCGAGAAATAACACCATAAAGTATATATACATGAAAAATACATTTACAACATTAGTACATACAGTATACAAAATCCAAGTCCAAAATGTTTGTACACGTTTGTCTTGTGGTAATAAAGCCAGTGCTGGCATTTGATTAAACTAAAACATTACGTCTGAAATTATACATGCAAATACATTTAAAATGATTAAGTCTTAACCTACTTACAGGTTGTGGTTTTAAAGTTGAAACTGCTTCATGTTTTAATAACAGTTTCTTGAGAGCACAGAGAGCTAAATTACGATTGTAATTTTCAGGAACATAATCAAACATAAATTGTATCCATTGTTGACAAACTACGTCCGTGGGAAGCCCGAACACAGAAGACCTGACAGCTGGATGAACATAACACACTTTTGACAAGCCACAGAAATATGGCCATGCCCTTTTTTGCATATTCCGGAGGGAGGGGTTGATGCAAATGTATGGGTTAGTTACGTATAAAACCCGTTGTAGTCCCATTCGAGTCGTTTTTGTAGGCAATAAACTTGATTTTTAAAAGATGATATTTCTGCTTACTTTCAGCGCTGCAACTTTACATATACTGTGCACCAACAGCAACATTACACACTATTTAAAATGAAAAAAATGAAATCGCAACCACCCCTTTAAATATAATATAATCTTTTGATTTTAGGTTGAAATGTGATCCCTTTTGTGAGATTTATCCGTAGTGGCACCAAAAAATTACAAAGACACACCATAAAAGAAGTTTATCCTGTGCTTTTACATCAGGTATTCTAGCTTCACTAATGATGAACTGCCCCTTAAATACTCCTCAAGGAAAGTTGCAGATGGCCTCATTGTTCCACAGAGAATAATTTCTGATTTTGTTGATGGTTTGTGTGTTGGATTGTTTTCCTTGGCTTGGAGCAGAAGCATGTGTTTTTAGAGCTGTGACTCTGGCTAATCTGTCCTTCTTCTGTCCACATCGGGATGAGAGATCCGCTGCAGCCATGGACCAGACATCAATTAGAGCAATTGAGTGACAAAACAAGATTTGAAGAGTATTATCGCCAAAGTGCTATTTTTCCTTTATTGTTTTAATAGCAGCTGCCGAATATCAACTTTCAAGTCAAAATTAAATTAAAGTGAATTGCAAATCACCGCCAGCAATATCTGAACATGCAATATTTCAAAAGAAAGAACAGATCCTCTGCTTTTAAACAACAAATAAACATTTTATTCTAGCTTCATTCATTCATTTTTTTTATCACCACTTGGATGTGTTCATAAAATGTGTTAATTATCATAAAAAATGCAACATTCAGAACAAAACCTGCAATGCTTTTATCGCTTGTTTCTGCCTCTTTTTTACCTCTGTTTTGAACCAGAGATTCTGTACTCTTTAAAGATGCGTAATAGTGCCCCCTACCATATAACAGCGAATATGCTGAAAGACCAAAATTTCTGTCAATGGCTGGAAATATAATCAGTGGAATCTTGTTTTCGCCACAGAATAAAACATTGAAACAAGATATAAAACCGCAACTGCGTGTTATAGAGTCAGAATTGTGAGAAATAAACTCGCAATTCTGACATCTTTTCTCAGAATTGTGAGATATAAACTCACAAGTTATAAAGTCCAATTCTAAGGAAAAAAGACTGTCTTTTTTTCCTCTGAATTGCAAGATGTAAGCATGCAATTCTGAGAAAAAACCCTAAATTAAAAAAAATATATATATATATACATATATATATATATATTTCTCACTTTATAACATTCAATTCTGATTTAAAACTAAATTGCGACTTTATATCACTCAATTCAAATCACTCAATTATTATATCACTTTATATATATATATATATATATAGAGAGAGGTATACATTATATCGAGATGTAAAAAAAGTCAGAATTGTGAGATAGAAAGTCACAATTACTTTTTTATTTTTTATTATGTGGCGGTAACAAGCTTCCATAGTTCCATTCATCATCTTGCATAATATACCAAAGATAAAGTTTCGCTTTACAAAAGTACAATTGTTGACGTTTAACTTTTAGCTTAGGTTGATGGTCTAAATTTGGCATCTGTTAGTGTTTCAGTGCTCTGAGCGCTCATTGGCCTGCTTACATTTGCAGTTTGACCTGGGGTCAGATTTATAAAGGAACATGTCCATACGCTGATGAGATTTGGTGTGTGTCTGTCTGCAGGTCACTGTTCTGAGGTCAGCTGCATTACAAATGTGCTATTGATAGGAGGAGGAAAATTCTTCAGCTCCAACACTCTTTAATTATTTCTATTTCTTGTCTTATCTATCTTGTCTCTTCTGTTCACATGGTCAATTCACCTTTCTTGCTCTTGCTGTTTTGTCTCCCTGCAGAGAAGCGTACGGATAAGTCGATGGTGTCGGGTGCCATCAGGCTGAAAATCAGCGTTGAGATGAAAGGAGAAGAGAAGGTGGCTCCGCCTCATGGGCAGTACACATGTTTACACGAGGTATGAAAAAATTGTTTTGTAAAAAAAAAAATCCACTAAAAATCCATAAATGAGGACTTCTTTTCCAAAACGCTATAAATCCATTTCAATAGTTTTCAGGAAAACTACATTTTTTACCTAGACCCACACATTTTGTGAATATTCAAATTATCCTGTTGAAATGTTTTATTGGTTCAGTCTGAAGATTTTGAACAATGATTATTAAATCAAACAACAATATTGTTAATGATAAATTAAAAGTTAATTTTATTTTTTTTCAAAACGCTATAAATCCATCCATTTTTTTTGTATAATTTTGAGTAAAGTCATTTTTAGTAAAGTGTCAAACCTCAAACAAATAGTACCAATTTCAACATATGCATGAAAAAAACTAATTATTAAAAATGATCAATAATGATAACGATATTCAAAACAGGGATGGGCACCCCTCCAGCACATGCACACACACATGTATAGGCTACATAGCATGTGAGCAAAGCGGAGCGGCGTGACGCTTAAATATAAGTAAAAAAAAAAAAAAAAAAAAAAAAACATAGGCTACGTTTCACATTTGTGTTTAATAATATTACGTTACTTATTTTTATTATTTCATCTATGTTGAGTATAGGCTATGAAAAGGGAACCGCATGAGATCAAAATTCAAAAGCTGCCCAATATCGGAAAATATTTGAAATGGGTCGGACATGATTTTGACCACTTATTAAGTTTTGTTTTGTAGAAAGCTTGTAAATTTCGTTTGATATAAATTTTATCTTCATTTTAATGAATGTTTCATCAACAAATTGACTGAATTAAAACATTAGAAGCAAATATCAGACAATATAATCAGGACACAGAGGCGCTCAGGTGAACCGGAGCGCGTCTCATATATGAACCGAAACACCGCGATGCTTGCCTCACACAGGCCTGAGAACTAGGCTACAGAAAGCTTTAAATGTCTACTTTTAAACAAAACAATTAAAAACGAAAATGAATTGGCAACTCTCTGCGTATGTAGGCTAATTCGAAGTATGCGTTTCTCTCTATAGGCCTATGCGCGTTCACTGCGAAGATGGCGAGTAGCATCATCAAATTTATCTTTGCTGCTGACACTGACAGAAAACACTAGTTTATTAATAAACAATTCAAATGTTTCATAATCATTACTTTTGCCGGTTCTTTGTGGCAAGCTTTATGCATGCGTTGAGATGCGGAATAGGCAATTAAAAAATCTCATACGGTTTCTCTCCCATTTAATTAAATCAATATATGTGATTACTGATAATACAAATGGCTTAAATGATCTACTACTAGTCGACTAGAAAACTAGGATTCATTTTGAGGAATGAATGAACATAATAAACCTCTGTTCAGAGTGCCGCGCGTGCTGGATTGCCTAGAACGCTCATTGAATTTGAGGATTTATCGCGTTTAGGCCAAAAACCGGGAGCGGCGCTTATTGCGTTTTGGAAAGAAACTGTATCTTGCAGTACATTTTAAACAAGGAAATATAGCGATTTGGCATGAAACGTTGATGGAGCAGTGAAAGGGTTCTGTCCACAGCAGAATGACACGACAAGCTATTTTTTATTTTTTTAAATGGCGTTTATCGCATTTTGGAAAAGAACTCTTCAAATATCTTTAATACTCATAAAATATTGGTAGATTTGTGCTTAATATTGCGAAAAACATTGTGGTAAATCACTTTTCTCTGTATTTTTCTACGAGTACAATTTTTTGCATTTTTTTTTCTGTAAAACACGATAAAAACTATATAAAAACAAAAAAAATGTATACTTTGATTTTTTTTAAAATTTATTTTATAATTAAATTACATTAATTTCACAAAATGTGATATTTAGATTTAGTCATTACATATACCATATTTCATTATTTTTTGTGTTAAGTTCCCATATTATATTATATTATATTATATTATATTATAGTACTGTAACAAGATTTGTGTTCAGGGAAGGAGGCAGGGACCGGCAAACGTTCAGCGTAAAACTTAAATCACCAAATAAACAAACAACAAAACGAAATGACTGGTTTTGTCCCCTCACGGATGACTGCTGCATAAACTGTTCATAAACTGACCAGTGTGACGCTTAGATGATGCTCATTAGCACTCACGCCTATATTATATAAACATTTGGTCTACGAACTTTTACAACATAAAATAAATTAACAACAGTAGTTGATTTCTGCAAAACATATACCCACCATATTGGAAAGTTAAAGAGCCGCCAAAACACATATTTGCATTATGAACTGTTTTTCAGAATCCAGCGTTTTTATGAGTGCAAACTCTTTCAGCTACACGTTTGTGTAGAATCTGGCCCATGTCTCGCTGGTGTTATACCACCATTGGCTGCACAGTGTTGTGGCATTTTTGTTGGTGTGATGACAGTAGGTTGGCACCCTGAAATGTTAACCTTTCCAAGTTGGCTGTGCTGTTGATATTTCTTGACATTTATTCCATATCAATGTTGTTGCAGTTCACGCACAGTGCCTGGCCCCTAAACGGGTTTGCTGTTTCTGTTTATCTCTTGAAATAACATGGTTATTCATGATTCTTATGTTCCTGTGCAGAATCTCTTCCACTACCTGACGGAGGTGAAGAACAGTGGAGTCGTGAAGATCCCAGAAGTCAAAGGCGACGATGCCTGGAAGGTTTATTTTGACGACGTGTCACAGGAGATCGTGGATGAGTTTGCCATGCGTTTTGGTGTAGAGTCCATCTACCAGGCTATGACGTGAGTGAAGAACCCTTCCAGTTTCTAATGCTTCATTTGTTTTTTAGAGATTGCAAGTCATTTAAGTCACCTTTATTTATATAGCACAATATGTTGTTTCAAAGCATCTTCACAGTAATTAATATGACTTTTCAGAATCAGTGATCAGCTAACTTAATCAAATATGAAACCTATTCAAATTCTGCAGCTTTAAAAGACAATAGATAGCCATTGTAATGTTGGTTCAGTTCAATGACTGAAAAGTGAATCAGTTGTGGAACAGTTATGAAAATGTCATTCAGCTATGAAGCAGCTCAATAGAAGACAATAGTGTTTTTATTTATTTTTTTCAGTTCAGTTTTGTTCTATATTGAATAATATTATTTAAGTTTTGTTCTCATCCAATAGTGTCAGTGTTGTCAAATCCATATTATTATTGGATATTAAGATTATCTTTTACTGAATAATAATTCTGGCCTGTGATGCAATGGATAGTATTTAACAGAAAGCAGCCAATAGCTCACACAATTTGCTGTATTCACTGTATTTATATTGTCCATCTTTATTGCTTTTGAAAGATGACGCTTGGCATTTTTCATGACTGGTGCTGATTGTGCTTGAACAGGGATTTATGAAAGGCTTGTTTCGTGTTGGACCACTCTGAGTCTTTCGATGACTTATGGTCATACATGCACACGATAGCTTTATAAATCACACTGTTTACTAGAATTGCTCAGGCTCCTAGTGAAAACCTCTCACCCTTAACACACACTTTGTCTTTCTCTCTTTTGGCCATTTGGATCGCTGTAATTAATGTGGTCCCCTGATGTGTATCCACTCTGAGGGCTCTTACTCTCGTAATAAAATCTGGAGTATGGGTGTGACGGTTATTATATAACCGTGAGACCGGCTATAACTGCCAAAACCAGGTTGTTAAAATATCTTGCACATAAGGTTATATTAATATCAGTTTTGGGGAGTAACGGAATACATGTACCGGCGTTACGTATTCAGAATACAAATCATGAGCAACAGTAGTCTCCACAGAACCTAAAATATTCATTTTATTTCATTTTTCTTGTTCGCATTCATGTGGAAAAAACAATGTTACGCATGTGACCAGTCTGAAAGTGCCACTAAAAGACGTGACATTTAATCACATCTCACAGAGTAAAACTTTCACTGAGACATCAAAGATAGAGACAAAACACAAAACCTTTCTTTAAAGTGCATTTCTGAAATATTTGTATCTTAATTTTAATCAATGTTTCATCAACCAATTGCCTGGATTTAATAACTAAGAAGTAAAATAGCAGACAATAGCTAATCAGGAAACGGAGGCGTCGGCGCGTAAACTGGAGCTCGTCTCATAAATGAACCGAAACTCAGCATTTAAGGTAGCCTACTTGCCTCACAGACATGTCTACTTTTAAACAGAACAATTCAAACTGAAAGGAAACAGACTATAGACTGCTCTCTGCTTATGTAATCCGTATGAATTTCTCTCTCTCTCTGGCGCGTTCACTACTGTAAAGATCGCGAGTCAGAATCGTCAACTTCATCTTTGCAGCCGACACTGACAAAGGCCTGTTTTTTTTTTTTTACTGTGTGTGATTCATTTAATGGAAAGCATGTTCACTTCCAGTTGTCTTGCTGTTAATTTAAAATAAACGCAGAGCAAGTAGATAATCAATGTCTGCTCGTTTATTCAAACTAAGTTGTTCTAAAACAGACGAACTGTCGCAACACCCCACCTATTTCTTTCATATTTTTTTTTTAAATACAGACCACAAACTTTTGAACTGTTTTCTATTTACAGGCCAAATATATAGAGAGTTTGAGAGTGTAGGGAGGTTCTGACATGCAGTTAGATGTTAGACACAGTTTTTCTAGTATTGATTATCGTTACTGTAGTTTACTGCTAATGAACATTTTAAGGGGGTTTTGCTCATTCAGGTCAGTTCAGGAGCTTCACATGTTCAGACCTGGGCCACATTTAACAGGTCATGTGACAACCTCACAAAAAGGGCAGGTTTGAGCAGAAAATAATGAATGGTCTCTCTGGATTGTAAGTAGCTTTAAAGCGTGTCGTGTTTGACTTGGTCATTGCAGTTATTCTCTTCATGTTTCAGCAAAGCCTCCAAATGCTAGCAGCTCCAGTTTAGATGATTGTAATGCATAAAGAAGCTCTAACTTCACATTGTAATTTCATTTTGCATACAAGCAATTTATCTTTACTCTGCTTTGCACATTTTAAACAGATTTTAAAGCAGGGACCAGCATTTTTTTTTCTCGCTGGTGGGTGAATTGAGATAAATTACTGGCCATAAAATGTGTTATTTGTGCATTATTTTTTTTTTTTGTAAAAAATAGAATATAGTTGATATATACAGTATATACAATATACTGTATATAAAATCTTATATATCTATATATAGTGTCTTTTTATGGGGTCATTCAGTTGGTATTATTTAGCTGTTGTTTTGCATCATGTGAAATGTCACATGGTGATGTCACATGGACTACTATGACGATGTCTTTCTTTCCTTTCTGGACAATCATACATACATTTTCAATGGAGGGACAGAAAACTCTCGGACTAAATTTAAAATATCTTAAAGGAGCGTTTTTTACCCATTGCAACATTTATCTTTATTGAAAGTGGATCATATATGTAGTCGAAATGTAAAAGAATTTTTTAATTTGGTGCCCTCTTGACTGAGAAAAGACAGAAAATAACCGAGGGGCGCATTTGTATGAAAGACTACAGGTCCCACAATGCACCGCATTGCACAGATCTGCAAGCCACACCCACTAATCCAGAACAGCGCAAACAGAGAATTCACTCTTCCGTCTACAAGGCTAACATTAGTTGTCACCAGAGTTTGAAATTCATTTCACACAAAATGTCTAGTTGGCTGTGGTGAGCAGGACGATCGAGGGCGAGGGATGTAAGAGGACGGCGCGCTGCGCGAGGCCGGTGGCGTGAGCGATGATGAAAGAGACCTATGAGGCGCGCGCCGGTCTCGCGTCCCTCACGGAGGAGCGAAAACATAAAATGGGTTGCGACGACGGCAGATCGAGAGAGAAACAGGCCTGATTTTATGTTGTGTTTTGTTTCTGTTGTGTGTAACGTTACAGCAGTCGCCAATGAGAGGCTGCTGGCTTATACTTTCGTTTTGTATTCGTTCATTTTACTATTAAAATGTTTAAATGTTCCCCGGTTCCTGCCTTCTTCCCACAACAACAAACCCCATTCACGTTACATTGGCAAACTCATTAGTGAATTACTCCTCGTTTGTATTTCTTTCTGTTTGGTGAATTACTGCATGATACCTGGATGTTCTGTCAGACGAAACTATCACAACACAAATGTCCGTGTGCTCGTCTGATTCAGAGATTTCGTCCAGGAGAAATTGCCATTGTTGAAATTCTCCGCAGCAGACGGACTCTGTGTCCGTAGGCAGTGACACGCAGCGAGAGTACAGGCAACAGCAGTCCGCCCAGCTCGACCCAGTCCGAGCTTCTCGACCGACAGGCAGCCGCCTCCTGCTCCTCCATGAGCCTCAGCTGCTCTAAACTATACTGAGACTCGTAAAGATAGCCACGAACATCGGATTCGAGCAGCAGAATTTCAAAATCCTCTTCTTCCACATCATGTTTAGTTTCTTCCGTCATTGTCATTTCTACCGTCATCTCCACAGCGCTTGTTAGCTTAGCTTCCAAACAAGATGGCGGATATTGATTCAGTATCTGCAAGTGAAGTCCCACCCACTGATCTGTAATAGGCTTGTAGGGTGAGTGGATCCCACACCCTTGAATAATAATGAGCTAATCTTTGTAGTTTATACAGATTTTAATGAAATGTGAATTCCTGCTAATTTTGATGCAAAATGATGATTTTTACGTCATGATAAGCAGGAAGTAAAACACTTGTATCCTTATTTCTCCCATCTCAGGGGAAAATAAGGGAATAAACCACAACCATTCAAAAATATGACTGGGTTTCTAAAGATACAAAAGCTTAATGCAAATGGGTGAAGTGACCCTTTAAACTGTTTTCTGAAGATGAACGGAGGTCTTACGGGTTTGGAACGACATGAAGGTGAGTCTTTAAAGGAGAACTCCGGCGCAAAATCAACCGTTAACCGTTCAACCGTTCTCTGAGATTTGTTTTCATGATAATCGAATGTAAAGAGTTTTATCTCTAAGAAATTTGATTACCATGAAAACAAATCTCAGAGAATGGTCGACTAGGTACCAATGTTTTATTAGACCAAAGGTTCATTTTGCGCCCGAGTTCTCCTTTAATGACATCATCACCCTTTAATGTTTTTTTTCATGAATCTGAAATGTTTTATATATATTTTTGTTAATTGTATGACTTGTTATTCACTTTGTTTATGCCATGGAGATAGCTTTTCTGCAGGCAATAGTTAATTAAATGCATACATAAAGTTACTGGCTAACTGGCAAATGACTCCAAATGCATTTTGGCACTTGCTGAGTGTAAATTTTGGATCCTACGTCTAGATTATTTCTTGTTGATCAAGAGAAACGTCAGGTTCTGCTGTTTGGTCGATTCCTGACTTTTAAAGCATCTGCTAATTTGTGCTTCTGTTTTACGATAATGGATATTGATTAATTCAATAAATGATAGTCTTCCAGCAATGAGTGTTCAGTACTGAATCAGGGGGACTGGCCTAAATGATTAGATGTAGAATTATTTATACGAACGACTAATGTTAGGTACAGTTATTAGACAAAAAGACGACGTCTCATGTTATATGTTGACAAACTGCACATAGAAACATTGTTCGCGATGTCTGCCGTCAGATATTCCCGTCTCGTCAATAACATGTAAGTTAGCACGTATTTGTTAAAGGGGAAATGAAACGTCCATATTTTCGCACTGATAGTGCTAGTAACATTAGCTACAGCCTTCATATACTAGGAAAAGGTGTCTCTGCTCTGACATCCTTCAGGGAAAGCATCGCCGCTTCCACACGTCTACCTCCCGG